AGACAAATGCACATACATTCACATACATACACAAACAATTGCACATACACATACATACACAAAAAAATGCACATACACATACATTCACATACATACACATACAAACAAATGTACATACATACACAAACAAATATACACACACATACCTACACATACATACACAAATAAATGCACATACACATACATACTCAAACAAATGCACATACACATACATACACAAACAAATGCACATATACATATACAAAAAAATGCACATACACATACAAACAATTGCACATACATACACAAAAAAATGCACATACACATACATGCACAAACAAATGCACATACACATACATACACAAACAAACGCACATACACATACATACACAAACAAATGTACATACACATACATACACAAACAAATGCACATACACATACATACACAAACAATTGCACATACACATACAGACACAAATAAATGCACATACACATACATACACAAAAAAATGCACATACACATATATACACATACATAGACATACATACACAAACAAATGCACATACACACAAAAAAAAAATGCAAATACACATACATACACTTACATACCCAAACAAATGCACGTACACATACATACACTTACATACCCAAACAAATGAAAATACACAAACTCTTGCACTCATGTATGTACAAGTCACCAGGACAGTCGTCATATTCTGGGAACGCCTGCAGCAACAAAAACACATGCAGACACTAACCAACTACACACACACAAATACATCTATACCCCTGAACAACACACACACACACGCGCACGTATACAAACACGCACACGCATGCACAGCTCACCTGAACAGTCGGCGTATGCCGGGGATGTCTCCTGTGGCAGCTGCGCGTACGAGGTTGTTGCAGATCTGTTCATTCTGCGTTCCTCTGTACTCACATGGGTCACGCAAGTCAGTGGCGCCCACGCACGAACCCACGGTGTGGGTCTGAGTGTGTAGGTATGTGGGTAGGTAGATGCAAGGTGTATTGGTGTCTTGGTAAGGGTGGATATACATATACTTATACACATACATGTACACACACACACACACACACAAATATATATATATATACTTATACTTATATATGTACATAGAGTATGCATATGTGCGTAGGTATAAGCGCAGCCTAATAGGTTTTTAGTAAAGAATACATACATACATACATACATACATACATATATGCATATATACATATATACATATACATTATGTGCAATACCTCTTTATTTTAGGTACACATACATCAAACTGCGTATGCAAACAGGCATACATATATGTAAGGCGTACATGTACATGCACATACACACACATATATATCCGTAAGACGCACACATACACACGTATACGTTAGACAACCACTTACACACACACATCCATGAGAACCACACATACGTATGACGTACACGCGCATGCAAGCAAACATATATGTACGCGTGCATACACAAGACCAGTGAGAAGTGCACACACACACACACACACATACATACACTCACAAAGCGTGCATGCACACAGACAAGTGAGTCGTTCGTACCTGAGACAGTAAATTGTGCACGCGATATCTGGCCGTTAGTCTCTGACTGAACAGAAACGCCGCTGTGCTCATGCGGTGCTTTCCGAGCTTCGGACTGGCAACGATATTTAGGGTTTAGGGTTCAGGGTTAGAAAGGGGTTTGGTGTACAAGTGGGGTAAAGAGTTTTACGTACGTACGGACGATATGAAAGTCAACTAATAACAATTCGATATACACATGGGATGGTTTATACATCCGTCAAAACCCTACCAACACACAACAATACGACAACAACACTCGTACATACTAACTACATACAAGTTAGCTACAGATATACGCCCGTCTGTGCAACCAGAACCCTACCTGTACATGGCAATGCCACAGACGCCAGGGATGACCATGATAGTGGCTCCGGATATGGCTGCCTTACAGGGGAACCCAAACTCAAAGGCGAAGTTTCCACTGCAGTGGGTGTTGTGGACGGCGATGTGGAATATGAGAGAGAGAAAAGACATATGACACATTCAGTGTCATTCAAGGGCAAGCAGGGGTGTGGTAGATAGGCATGTATCTGAGAACGAAATTGGACATATGAAGCTAAACTATCAAACCCTAAAGAGGACCAGGCTAAGACCTTAAAAACCCTGAATAATCGGAATATCTGCGTCAAGTGCTGTGTATATAAGGTCAGAGCAAACTTTCGGCGGGGTTGATA